GGATTGTTCAGCCTCAAGAACATGTTGATCAAGTCAGTGAGGCAAGCTCAGATCCAAGGAGCTCAGTCAAAAAAGTATTTGTAACCTTCTTTGATCTACTACTATGACAAAATAAATAATAAGTATGAGTAACATTTAAAAATGAAGATCAAAAATTTACTCTCTAATATAATGTTCAACATAGTGAAATATATGCTTTTAAAATTCTGCCCACTGTCAAAATGTAGCAAGTATTGCTTACTGATTTTGTTTTGTTTGGAAATTACAGATGTAGATAGATATAAAACAATGGTGAATCAAGTGTGACCAAAAGTTAACCATTGCAGAATCTAACTGCATGATATAAGGAAATTTGTAGTAATATTTTCATATTTTCATATGTATGAATTTTTAGTAACTTAAATATGTGCCCGCATTTAAATTTTGTAGGTGCAGATCTGAGCCAGACCACAAACACTAAGCAGGATTTAGAAGGGCTGATGGGAAAATGAAGCATATTCCAGGCTAGAGCCACAGACAAAGCCACAGCCCCCATGAAAAGGGGATTTCGTGCAATAAACATAGCCAGGCTTGGCTGAGGAAATGGCACATGCTCGGAGACAGCAGATACAGCAGTTCTGGTGGATGGATGGGGACCGATTTTAGGAGTAGAAAGCCCATGGTGGGGCTGTTATTTTATGGAGAGGAAAGTTTTTGCATGAACTGTTCTATGTTTAGTCTGTGGCAAAAGATCTATGCAAACTTGTAGTACAAAAAATATTTTAAACATAACTAGCATTGGGAAAACTAATATACAATAGTAGTTTAGAAACATCAGTACTTTCATTCACTTTTAAGCTTTATCCAGTGTATTTATTCACGAGTAAGACCACTAAGAAAGATAGCTTCTTTTAAGTTTGTATTAATTCAGAACCCTTCTCCACAGCAAACCAAAATAATAATCCTATTCTATGATGCATTTTGACTTTATAACACCTGTAAGAATTTTATAGATGAAACCATAAATATATTTAGATCACTATAATTTGGAGTCCCTGGCAAACCACACTGAGCAGGAAATCTTCTAAGCCAAGGACTAAGTGTCACAGAATTTCTTGATTGTTATGGGAGACAAAGCTGAACACAAATATTCACTTTTACATATACTTGAGTGCTCTAATTATACTCTTTGGGTATACAGACTTAATAACACACTTATGTAAAATGGGAAAAGTTGTGTTGTAATTTCTATATTTTTCAGCAGTGAATATGTACATCTTCTCTTTCCTTCCCCTCCGTGCTTTATCCTTTTCCATCCCTTCTATGCATTTACTGTTTCTTTAAATCACATTTAACTAAGATATTTTTAAGGTTTTTCTCCTGTTGTCTTCTGTTAGAAACAGGTTAATCTTGAATCTCTAATAAATGCAAATTGATTAAAGAAAATCACAAGTTCAAGATTATTTTAACTTCACTGGCATAATTGTTACTATCTGCAAGTCCCCTGGGATGTATTGGATTACATCACTTAAATTGGAATCTGTAACTGAACACAGTAACCATAAATGTGCCCATTGTGTGTTTACTAGCACTGGTTAGGTATTTAATTTGCTTGCCTGTAATAGACTGTCAGAGCAATAAACGTGAGGCAAGTAATATAAACGGTATAATGAGGGTAATTATCTGAATGGATCGATTATCATGTTATTGCAATGTGATAGGGGTAGGAGTGAGATATAGATACCTTATATAAATTCCTATTTTCAGCTTTATTTCTTTATTTACTGCACATTTTTCTAAAACATTTAAAGTGGAAACTACATAAACTGGCATTGCCATCCCCTCAGTTATCCCTTATCCTTTGTGCAGTTAGCTCATTAACTCCGGCAGATCCTGCCTAAGTCATATTTCTTCTGAGAAAGCAATAATTGAAGAATTGGAAGTTTAGCACTCTCTCCAGATAGCCAAAACCATGTGCTGGACATCACTATGTTCATTAGCTAGTTTGTCCTCTTTATTTATTAACCGAAGAACCGGGAAGGGTAAACTGTTGTTAAAGGCTGTACATGTTGGCATTGCATAATATTCTGCAACATCTTGACGTGGAACTCAGAACTTGTTCTCCCACCTGCACTTAGGGAACAGCTAAGCAGTTATAGCAGCTTTAGGACGGAAAGGTTCAGTGCAATAGGCCAGAATCAATCCTTAAAAAAGCAGCAACAAGTCAGAAAAAACTTTCAGTCTATTGTGAATTGAAACGTAGAAAAGGAACAGTGTAAAGATAAACAGTGCTTAAAATATCTAAGTGGATGATCAACTTGAGTGCCAAAGAATGGACTAAATGGCAGTGTCTTCCATGATGAGGACTGAAGGAATGTGGCAGGAAGGTTACAGTGGTTGCTAAAACAGAAGGCAAGTTTGACGATCAAGAGAAGAACAAGACATTAAGTCCTGAGAGTGAAACTGTGATGGTAAAGTTAGTCTGATTCTTGATCCCGGTGGCAGGAGTACCTTCATCTGGACTGTTTTCCAGCTATTTTCTTCAATTTCCTTGTGGCATCTTGGTTCAATCATTTCATTCAAATTTTACTGTGTCAGTTAAACTGGCCTAATCTGAAACTAAATAATCAGCATATAATGCTTTCTCATTATAAAACCAGAGAACATTCAACTTTGAAATTACTTTAAGTAGAAAACTAAACATCAGACATCCACAGAAGTAGTGCTGCAAGCCTGGGTGCCCAGGAATTGGAATTGCCAGGGAATAGGAGCTGAGCACAGACGAACACACCCAGAACGAAAGAATTCCTTACCACAATGTCAGCACTAATCACCTGGACCCAGAGCTGACTGTAATGCAGAACTCCAAGTGTTCACACACTGGGCAGTTGACTCAAAAGGTAACATGCCTGGGGAGAAAGAGAAAAGAGTAAATACTAGTTGGAGATGTGGTTGTGAATGGAAGAAGGAAAATTTCAAAATTTCAAGAATATACAAGACCAGCCTTTCCCAATCATTGTCTAATAAAGAGGCCAAAACAACAAAGACAAGTGTGGAAGAAGCCTATATAAAGCCAGTATTCTCTGATTAGGTAGAAATAATACTACTAAAAAAGTAGAATGAAAAAGAGAAAAGGGGAAAGTTGATTGTTGCATACATAACAATGAGAGGGAGTCAGAGTACCTGATTTTAACTAGACAGTCACAAAATTGAAACAAAAAGAGGATAATGAACACTCCTAAGTAACTTGTAAGAGATAGACAGGAATAGGGTAGGAAAGTGAATACTGTAGAGAGAATAGAGTAGCAAACCATCAGTTGCAGCTGATTCAGGTAAAAATTACCAATAACTGCTAATACAGATGAGTGATATGATAAGCAGTAGAATGTTTTCATGTTCTTAAAATATCTCATCCAAAATTGCACCTTAATTATAAAAGGAAAGATAATAACTTTATCATGGAGAGATTTGGAAGACTCCATTTTAAGCATGTGATGGAAGTTTATGTGTCCAGTAACAGGGAGCATGAATATCATGTGATTTATCCGCTGAACTGAGAAAGATCCAACACCAAGTCTGCTGTTCCAACCAAATGTTACATGAGGAACAACCTAAATTAAAATCCAATCTATACAGTAATTACTCTCTCCTAGGAAGAAAAAGAGGAAAAGGGAAGAAGAAAACATAGGAATTGTTTCAGACTAAAGGATGTTGGGTGAATGATAACTACAACTCCATGCAGTGCATGATTGTGGATAGGATTGTAGACTGAAAGCATTTAGTATAAAGGACATTATTGGGACAAGTGATAAAACCAAAATAAGGACATGGGTCAAGTTGTCATGCTATATTCTGTGTTTCCTGAGAAAAAAACTAGACTGCATAAGAAAATGTCTTTGTTATTCAGAGATACATATGCAAGTTTTAAAGGGTACAGGTTGTTATGTCTAACACCCCCTTTTGAAAAAGTACAGAAAAAGATTTTTTTAAAAATGTAGCAGATGTAGCAAAATGTTAGTGATTAGTGAATCTGAAGAAAGGTATGTAGGAATTTTTATATTCTTGTGAATTATCTGTGAACTTAAAATTATTTCCAAATAAAAAGTTTTTATAAATTGATGAAGAAAACCTATGGAGGAACAATGTTCAATAGATCATTTAAAAACATGCCATACTATCTATGCACCACTTAGCAACACCCCTTCAGGATGTCACAGTTAAAGGATAGATAGAGCCGTATTTGCCTGGGGGGGCAGGGTGGGACACTGCCAGTGATCATTGTCACAGCTCTGGGCAAGGTACACTTGCACACTTCAGAGAGGGTGACAGAAACCACAGTAACCACAGTGCAGAGGGCAGATCTCATGCTAATGTTGCACATCCCTTCTCAAATCTAACACACACACAGTGATTACTTTTTCCCTTCCTTATAAGTACGCATGATGTTCCTATAACTGTGTTCCACATTCACTTACGCATACAGCTCTGAGGGCCACAAGGCTGGGGAAAGCGAACCTTAAGAATAGTCCAAATCTTACCTTTCTCATTGTTGACATCATTAAAAGTCATTGATTAACATCAAATAGCATGTTCAGTTTGGATTTGGGATTATACTTTAGTGACTTTACCTGGCATTTTTTTTTTCTGTGGTCTCAACAAACACAGGCCTTACTGAAGTGGAGTAAAGCATTTTTTTTACATTTACATTTTCATAGAATGAGATAAACATTGTAATCTTCTTTCAAAGCACTGTTGCATCAAGCCATGATTTGATTTCCTACCTGTTCAGAATATCAAGTTTTGCATTTCTTAAAATCATAATGTATTTTTATGAGCAATTTGATAAGACAGAAGTCATTCCTGAGATATTTATAATAGTACTTAGAACAGACTTGTCAAAAGTACTTCAAAAAGATTATTTTGGATCCTAAGGAGATATATTTAGTAACTGTATTGAATAAGTTGTCACATAACACAACATTTCATTGATTTATTTGTCTTATTTTTGTATCTTACTGCAGGCAGAGAATTCAGCATTGGCTTTGGAAAATGAAAATCAAAGAGAACAGTATGAGAGATGTCTTGATGAGGTAAGGTGAATGGAAAGGCCTATAATAGGAAGCCAGACTAGTTAAGATTCTTTTAATCAGATCTTAGTACATGAATATTATCAGCCTCTACAGAACATTAGCATTTTCTTCTTCAAGGGCAAGTTATGATCATGTGGTACTGGGAAGGAAGATTGGAGTGTGTATCTGCCTTTGTTTTTCTCGTGGTCTACCCATATCCCTCTCCCTCCCTCCCTCTAGTCTTCTCTAATTCCTTATACAGGCACCAGTAAATTTCCTTTTGGTCATTGCTTTATATTCTTGGGACGTAACTGGTGTATGCATCATTGTATGATCAGTTTCTTCCATCCAGTGAGTGATCCCTGGCTATGAATGAGGATAACATGTTGGATCAGAGTACCTTGTAGCTGCATTTGGATGTCATTGCTGAAAAACCAAATCTATGATAGAGTGGGTGGGCATGATGACTTGTTGGCAACCACAGTGGAGAAAAATCAGGAGAGTGGGCCCAAGTGAAAAGGGGGAAAGGAAGTGAGGAAGAATATTTTAGTGAAATGGAAGACAGGACCACATTCATGAATAAACTCAATAAATAGTATTTGATGGTAGTGCAGAGATGAGAGCCATGATGGTGAACATTTGAGAGTTTCTAGGAAGAGCAGGAAAGCATGCAAAACCTTTGTTCTTTCTCTGCCGTTCTCCTCACACTGGTACACATCCTGCCCGTGATCTGTGGTCTGCCTTCCTGCGAGGACTGGCCCTTCACCTTCCTGAGTAGTCCCCTCTGGGACTTGTTAGTGATCAGAGATATTATTTAGATGGGATAACTTCTTTAGGCATCTGTTCAATATGCTAAAATGTATTCTGGAAGACACAGTTTGAGATTTGTTATATTGTGGCTGATACAGATTTTTGAGAAAAATAAGGAAAAACTGTGTTTAACCTTGTTCTGCTACCTTATTGGTAGAACTACCAACATATCCTAAGTCTTTTCCTCTAATAATTAGAAAATCCTTTTCTAATAGACTCCTCTTGATATTTCTGCCCCTTTCTATCTCACTCTTTTCCCACTTGCTGGACAGAAGTTGGTAGATCAGACCCTTAAGAATATACGCTCAAATTCAACTATGACTCATGTCACCTACAGTGACTTCTTTGATCCTTTCAGATTGAAATTGTCTTTGTCTCCTGAGTACTAGCCTTGCTTGGGGATTCTTATGCCAGGAGTTCTTAAAATATAATTTCAACCCAGCTAGTCTCCTCCCATGGAACCTTGTGAGGGATGCAGAGTCTCTGACCCACCTCTGCACCCCAGAATCAGAAATGGGGTGACTCAGCAATCTGTGTGTCAGCAAGCTGTGTAGCTGGTATTGGTGTTTACTGAACCTGCAATCCCATTCTCATAATACAGATCACTTGGTATTCATTTCTTACTAGTAATACAGAAACATTCTAAATGGTTTAATATTCAGCATTTTAATTATTCAATATTTTCCAGCCGTGTGCATTGACTACTTAGGCAAAGTAGAGTTTGTGATCCTCTTCCTTGCGGGAACTTAAAAAAGAGCAGAATAATCTTTATAGTATCCAAAGTATAAAAAGAAAATAACAGAAAGTTAGTTTACATAAATGGGGCATAAAGTCTCAGTGAACTCAGCAGGCCTCACCTCTATCCCTAGACTCTTCTTCCAAAAACACTTAGGGCAAGAAAGATCAAGTAGGTCCAAGGGAATGGATGAATGGATTGATTGATTGACTGACTGACCGACTGAAACTGACGCTTGCAACATAGCTCAGATTGGCCTTGAAGTCATTATGTAACCCAGGCTGTCCTGGAACACCAGTAGTACTCTGCCTCAGTCTCCCAAATGCTAGTATTACAGATACATGCCACTGTGCCCAGAGATGTAGGCATATTTAAAGGAACATATAATGCCCTTGGGTTACATATATTGATCAGCAAATTTCACTTTAATCTCCAGCATAGAAATTTCCATTGAGACTTTACCTGCATTCAGAAGTCCACGGGGACTTCTTATTTGTCATGATTCTCTAAGTTATCCCCTCCCCTCCTATCTAAGGGCTCACATCATTTCCCCCTAGAATCCAGACGGTGTTTTCTGTGTGTTCACCGTATGACTGCATTGTGTAAGTTTTGACAGAATGGAGCCAAACATCTTGTCACCCACAGAATCACTTCATGTATTTTCCACTGACAGTAGAATTTTTAGGAGAGTCTTTCCGTTAATAATCACAAAAATTAAAAGCTGCCAAAGCTTCTGAGCAGTGCACATGTTTTGTATTCTTGAGTCCTGCCCCTGATTACACATGCCAGTTGTTTTGTGACTAATTGCATGAAGTAATCCATTTCCATGAACTGTAAGAGAACATTCTCAAAGGGGTCGTTCAATGCATTAATAATGCCAACTGGAAATTCTTTTCAAGGCTTTTTATACTAATTAGACAAACTAACAAGGTAAGGCCTCATGTAAGTTATTTCCTTGCTAGTAGGCTTCATAAAATATACGCAGGTGGATAACATGTAAATTTTAAATGTTCCTCAATCCCTTCTGTGCTGATTGTTATTTTCTGGGAAATGGAGAACATATTGAGGATTTGGGGAAAACACTTGAGAGTCTGAAATTCCTGGATTGTTTTCTACTAAAAGAGCCTGTTTATTCAGCAGTGAGCAAACCCAAATGCATAGATACACACACCCGCACACACCATGGCTTGGTCAGTGTGCAACCACACACACAAGTGCATGCAAATGCACATTAGTGCACATACACACTTCCCTGTCACCTTCACTGCCCATCTCCTTGCAGGTTGTTGCATGGCACTACAACAACAAAACCATGGATTACTCTCATCTTTTTTCCTTGACAATTTAGAGGTTTTCACATTTGAATCCAGTTTTTCAGCCTCGCTGTTTGACAAGCAGTTTACTGGCAGGCAAGTGAATTACTGTTTATTCGCAGTATTGCCTTGGCCACAGTTCCTTCCAAACCAACTATTCCCATGTAGAGAAGTATAATGGCATGTATAAAGTAAGTAAATACCGCCTTCTCAAGCCAGTGTATTGCATTTAGATGGAGTCCACAGGGGACTGTAAACTTTTACTGGGTGTCAGATTCTCACAGGCACTGGGAGCTCATAGGTGCTTTCAGACTACCAGAAGTGAAAAGCATGGTTGGTCACAGAGGATGGATGTGAGAAAAGCTTGCATACTGTTGAAATCCTGCCCCAGAGACTCTGATCTGACTCAGTTCTGGGGTGAATCCTGGGCATTTGAATTTTAAAAACACTGCAGAGCATTGTAATACAAAGGTTAAGAACCATTACAGTGAGGCCCTCTGAGTGCTTTGCTGTGGAGAGCGTTTCCACAGTGTGTAAAGGAGAGTGAGTACATGGAGACAAGCTTGGATATAGCATCTGAAAAGCCACCTGGAAGGCTTCCATTATTTCTGGGTTAATACAAAATGACAAACCAAAATCTGGGCCTTGTCCAGTGTTTTGTAATGTGTGCTCCCAGGACCACTGCCCATCAAACAGGTATATGACGACTGAAAAAAATTCACATTCTGAGACCCTTCCTGGTTTTTGGGGACAGGAAATTGGCAGTTTCCACAGACATTATAGATTTCACACACAAAGCTGGAAAAGCTGCCCTTGCCTTCGGACTTCAGAGTGACCCAAGGCCTAGGATCAGCAAGGATGCTGTGGTTGAATTCTTCTCCAGCCCCTGAACAAGGCGCTTAAGATCACAAGGGGAAGGGAGACCACTGAATGTAATTTAGATATAGAAGCCAAAAAGCTCCATCATTTCTTTTAGATCAAAGCTGAAGACAGCAGTAGGTTATTGAGATCGTTCTTATCTGCCTTTCTGATCCATATGCTATGTGCTTAACTGAATTGTGAAATATACCATGTTTTCTCAGGGTATACTTCACACATCTTTAAAATCAATATCTCTGCAGATATAGTTGGAAAAAGATGTCCTTATAGCCTTCATGTACCCCAAGTGCCCACATTATCAACAGGTGATCTCCTCCTTCTTGTCTGCCCTGGACACCTACAATCTAGTGGCCATCACTCCTCCATAATCCACATGATTCTTGGCTCTACCATCTATAATGTCTGTGGAAACTACCAGTTTCCTCTCCCCAACAACCAGGAAGGGTCTCAGAATGTGAACTTTTTCAGTCATTATACACCTGTCTGATGGGCAGTGGTCCTGGGAACACACATTATGAAATACTGGACGAGACCCTGTATTTTGGTTTGTCACTTTGTGTCTAGTGCATATTTGTTAAATGACTTTAAATGAATGAATGGAGACTAGCAACAGGAAATTAATTTCCAAATTAGTTTCCCTGAAATCCCACACACATATTTAGAATAATTTCTTCAGTTATCTCCTCAGAGATAAACATTCATTTATTATGCTCAACCCCAAAGATAACTGAAAGACTAAATCAGCTGAAATGAAAATTGTAGACTCACATAAGACTGATTTAAATTAGACTATGTGGGCTTCAGATTAGGAAGACTTGCTTTTAAATATTGTCACAGTCCTCTTCATCCTGTGGTATTTGGGAGCATGTGTTTGGTTTATTATTTGTCATATTTTATCTTCCAGGATTTATATGTATACATATTCATTCTTTTACAAATAAATCCTCCTACTTTTAAACCATTCTCTTCTCACTGCTTACCTGGAAAGACCGTCCAACCCCTCTGCTTCACACTTAACATTTACAGAGTGACTACTTTATATCGGATCCTGCCCTAGATGCTTTCTCTCCGTATACCTATCATCTCATGCATTTGTCACAACTTAGCGACAAACAGTTCTCTTTCACCCATGAGGAAAGTCCGGGTGCTTCTCAAGTCTCATGCTTGTCAATGCATAACACCAACAGAGATGGTCTTTGAGCTCAAGTCTGTCTTGTGTTTCTGGCCCAGTATTCTTTCTATGTTCCCCTAGCTAGTTCAGTATAGTAAACCAAGTCCAGAAGCATAACAAATTCCTCCATAGCATATTTTGAAATCATTTTTTGGGCCAGACTTTTATCTTGCTTAAGGCCATCATTTGGTTTGCATGAAGAAATAGCATCTTGGGGTATGAAAGCAAAGCAGGCAGACAGGCAAGGCCTTTTGGGCTCCTCCCACTCACCAGAGACATCCTGAATCCTTACCCTCCATGCTCCACCCTGCACAGAGGCCTTCACGGTCTTCTTGGCATGTGCAAGGAACGGTTCATCTCTCAGTGTGCTGCTTAGTGTGACTACTCATTCAGCCTCAGGGACATTTTGCAATCAATAACAGACCACTCAGCAGCCCCATCTTCTCCTCTCTGCTGTCCATTTTCAGAGAAGTGCTTGAGGAGACCACAGCCCTAAAAGCCTGGGAAGAAACATTGAAAATGTCTGGGATTGACAGGAGATCAAGAAAGTGTCAAAGGAGCTGGCTTATCTGACAGAATTCTTACTGAAAAGGCAGGAAGCTTATTAGTAGGTGTCCTCCTGGGCTTCTTGTCTCTCCTGCAACCCACCTCCATCTCCTAGGAGCAAAGTAGAGAGGTCTGCAGAGAACTGGGTGACATTGTAACACAAGCCAGAGGTGTAAGGACTATCATCTCTGTTCTGTGTGTGTCTCAGATCCTTCTGACATAGCCCAGCTGCTATTTTCCCATTGTTTAGAGAGAAAGCTGGCAGGGGAACTGCAAGTTATTTGTTCTCATTAGTTGGTCATGCTGATGAGCTGTGTGCAACTATTTGTAACCCAAATGCTTAGGGCATATTGCTGGAACATTATGGGCAGGGGTACATTCCAGGTATCATCTTGTGAGTCTATTAGAAGTTACAGGCACAAGCTCCAAACAACTGTTTCATTGAAGCATTTGGAAAGCTTGGCTTTTAAAAGTAGTAACAAATCCTAGAAAACCATCTTTATAAAAGGTATAGAGAAAAGCTTTGTTCAGCCTGTTTGCTCTTCAACAAAGAACCTGTGAGTCCTTCTGGGCAAGGTAAGCCCATGTCAGCAGGTAAAGACATAATGTATTGGTGTATCTTTGTTCAATTTTCAGGATAGCAAACAATTGTCCAAAGTACATGCCCGAAGGAACTGTGTCAGATATAGAGTCTGCAAGCCTATAGGGCAAGTGCTTGGATTGCAAAGATATAACACATTTCCTCCTGTGGGCTATTACAGTTAGGATATTACTCTATGTCTCCTATTAAATCATGGATAGAGCTATTTTATGTGAACACTGTTACACAGAGTGACTTAAGTGAGCTACCAGTTTGGAGGAAGAAAAGCAAATATTGATATTAGGCAGTTTTATGAGAGCATAAATCAAATCCAAAGTTTGTGATAAAAAAGTATATTATTTATGGTATGAATTAACTTTGGTGCATTTTTCCTGATTTAACCTGCACTTCAATTCTTTTGTTTTATTAGCCAGCAATAAAATAGATGATGTACTGTTTAAATTCTCTGCTACTTATAAATTGGCATGAAATGTTTAAAAAATTTTGTATGGGTTGAATCACTTTTCATTATTGTGATCAATATAAATAAAGAATTAAAGGAAAAATAAAGTACCATTTACTGAAACTATGGTTTATTCTTATATATAATAGCTCCTAGGTATGCTTCTTGAAGTTTAAGTTCACTGAAAAAAATACTTAAGAATCCTTTTTTTTGTCGAAAACTGTACTTAGTTTTAGGAAGAGGCCTTTGTTTTTTACTTAACATCAACAAGACAAGTTTGGATAGTTTCTGATGGGGACAAACTCCCTCTTAACTAATAAATGATAAATAATCTAATTCTAGTCATTTACTGCTTATAGCATAAATGCCTTCTAACCAAAGTTGATGACAGCCTGTGTTTTAATTTTGTCTGAAACTTATTGGTCACCAACTGTAGTCAAGGATGTGCTATTTTGTCAATATTGAGCCAAAAAACAATTCAGCTCATGAGAACGTTCTTACTATAATCTGTTCCACTATACTAAATGGGGGAACAAACACAAGTAGTTTCACATCACCAAAAATAAATTGATCACAACAAGAAAAAGATGTAAGTTCCACAAATTTGGAGTGAATGTGAGAATTACCACAATGGTAAAATGTATATTATGTTATGTTATAATTGTGTTATTGTAATAACCATCCTGTGACCAGTTACTAGATATTATCAAATTCTAGTCATTTTGCCTGCCAAATAGATTTGTAGAAAATTTATATCGAATAAATGAAAAAAGAAAGCACAAGAAGTACCTATGTCAAGAATTTAAGTATTCTGACTCAGTCTTTAATTTTATCATTCTCATAGTTTTTACAGTGAAGAACATCATTTAATTAGCTTATCAATTTCAGTTATTATGAACAGCAAGCATGTAGGTACATAGCTTCAAGGTTATAATAAAGCTTAAGTTTTTTGATTTATGTATCTGTGACTGTGTATTTTATTTATATATACCCAGTATCTCAGTTCATGAGTTTAATTTATTCCACAATGCTGCGGAAGTTTGACCAAATCCGTGTTTGTGCAGAAAAAATGACTGAGGTCATGTTACATACCTGATGTGAAATTCTCAGGTGGAATAAAAATTTTTCCTAATGGTCCTGTTTGTGAACTGAATTCTTTGGGGACAAAAGTGTTTATGAACCAAGGTATTATTGCATATACAATATGTATGGAACAATACATAGAAATGTGAATAGTTATATATGGAATTATTTGGAGAAAATGCCAGATCACATTATTGCCAGGGACACGGTACTGGTATTGGTGGCCTTTAATCTAAATAGTTTCACGTGCCGTCTTCTAACCGAGTCCCTGAAAAACTATGGAATGGCAAGATTAATATAAATTAATCAAGATTCACATCCTTGAGCTGAGGAAGAGCCCCACTTTCCCTGTATTCTAAATTGCCTAGTACCTAAAAAAACTATAGAGTTCTGTTAGTACGTTAGAAAGAATTCATTTTGGTTGTATATTGGAAAAAACTCAAAATATTTCTTTTGAATTTTTCCCCTACATAAAAGTTCACAGAAAAACCATGCAGCCCAGTGACATCATCACAATCTGTCTTGTCCCATTCTCCCTAAACATCTATATTATTTGACTTCTGTTGTCAAAGTAGCTACTGAAGCCATCACTTTCATGCCCCGTACAACAAAAGGAAGGAGGCAGCATCCAAGCCCTCTTCTTCTTAGAGACTTTTTGCAAACTCAAGAAATTAGTGTGCTTGTATCTTACTAGCTAGACCTGTGTTACAGGAAGACAAGTGGCTAGCTACACAGGAGACTTCAAAATATACTTGAATGCACCCAGCCAAAAAAAATTGGGTTTGTTACAGAGGAATAAGAGGAATGTGGATGCTGGAGTAAGTAGCTGCCAGACTGTTTTACAGTAGGCAGCCATAAGAGGATAGCATAAGTGAAAAGAGAGAAAAGCAAGGAAAACAGGAAGCTTGTGTTGTCCTTGGTCTCGACCATTCAGCTTTATTGTGAATAATTTTAAGTGGTGAAATGACCAGCAAAGAAGTAGGAAGGAGAGGCAAAAGATACTGTAAATCAGCAAAATATAGAACCTGTGTACCAATAATTAGGATAGTGTTTTGCACTGTATCATTTTTTAGCCTTCTTGGAGCACTTTACATATGAAAGGATATTATTTTTCCAAATATGGAAATGTGAAAGTCAAGGTATGAAAGATCTTTCCAGCTGAACCATCTTAATTAGCAACAAGGACACCTTTGGAAATAGCAAAGTATTATCTACAAGGATAAGCTTATTATAAAGAGAGTGAGATTTTCTCAAAGTAGAGGAAAGAACAAACTGAGGAGCTAATTAGCCACAGAAAGTTCTGTGACATTTATTGTAAATTAAGAGTTTATGTGTATAACATCTTATTGTAAATGATGATTTTCTTTCCTTGTTTTTAAAGGTAGCCAATCAAGTTGTTCAAGCTCTACTCACTCAAAAGGTAGGTCACCATTTACTTTTATTCTTTTCGAAGTACTTATGTGAATAGACGACAGCTCACATTGTTGAACTACAAAATTATGATTGATAGATGCAATACTTTCCTATTTATTCACTTAGGCTAAAACCATGTGTGTTTTATGTGGCATATGAGATAGCAATAATGAATGTCCTTTAGAATTGTAAAATTCAGACTCCATGTAAAATAATAGCCTTTTTAAAATGAAAGCTCTCCATGTACCCAAATGACTAAGAGATCCGTCATTTTTATTTAGTGAATACGGACTTTAAAATGTTGGTGGGTTCTTCTGATTTATTTGGAATCAGTGTCCTCTTGGAAACAGCATTAAAAGAAGCCTAAAATTCAGCAAGAACACTTACAAGTTAAGAAAGGGATTTCATTTCTGTAAGTCTTAATTATTTTTCTCTGAAGTAGAAATAACAGTTCCTAACCCACAACATTGCTGTGGTTCTATGAAAGGGGGCACATAGCACATTTCCATTAGGAGTCAGTCTGTGGTAAATAACAAATAAATGATGAATGCTATGCATGACCTCCTTCTCTGGACCTCCTTTTTTGCTAGCTCCCCATCCAGCCTGCAGACAATGTAAAACCACATTATTGGGCAGAGTAGGTAAACTTGTGTCATGTTTTGATTGCACTTGGCTAGTTTGGTGAATTTATTGCATGTGCCTTATCTTTTGCAATAACACCTCTCAGAGGCTGAGCTGTAGGCCCATCAGATTTTGTTTCTCCTAATTTCTCTTTCTACGAAATGGAGACTTCTTCTCCAAAAGAAAATCTCAGATCACATAGAATGTTCAGTAGGATGTAACTATCAAGAACAACCATCTTGAATTTTTTTATTTCAAAAGAATCTTATCAGTGCTTGACTGCTTCTCATGGATATACTTAAATTATTTTAATGTATGCTGTACAGATATTGTAATAACATTTTTACTAGACTTCTGTCAAAATGTCATGTCTGTTTCTACAAATAATTGTAATGGCTTCAGGTTTTACACTAACAATGCATAAAGAGATGTAGGTACACTTGTGTAGAGTTAGACTCAAGTTTCACTGTAACAGAGATGCAAAACAGAGGTGGCTTAAATACTCTAAGATATTATGGCTTTCTCAGATATAAATTTACAGGTAGTCAGTAGAAGAAGGATGTGGTAGTTATAAATTCGTAGGGTCCCTTGCTTCTCCAGGGTTGTCTTATAGCCACAATGAGCTGCTCTTCCTCCAGTCATTTTACCCACATTCTAACAATCAGGAGAAAAGAAACAAAACAACAACAACAATAAATGCCAAATAAAGCTAAAGTATATAAAATGTTCTAGGTGTCATTTAAGGAAGATGCCAAGGCCCTTCCTTACATCTCAAGAGTGCTTAGCTACACAGCCACATCTGTGGGAGATGGTAAAGAAGTCTTTAGTGTGAATATGTGCCTAGCTGAAAATTGTTTGTCATATTACTGTTAAAAAGTGAAACTAAATATTAGAGAGTAACTCACAACTTTTGCCATAACATAGTTGAATGACTTTCTCTTTCAAAGGCTTTAATTTCTTAATTATTTTCTTCCTGTTAGAAACTGTGCTTATTTTATTATAAAACTAAGGAAGGAAAGCTGATGATAGCTCTGTATGCAACTAGTGAGATACTTCTCATGCTTCATCTTTAATTGTGCCTCAGGAAAGAGACAGAGAAGTCATCTGGTACAGTGAAAAGGAAATCAGTACTCTTCAAGTCAGCCACAAAAAGAAAAAAGAGCCGCCCCACTCCAAGTAACAGCTAGTAAACAGGTCAAATATGCTTTGGGACAGTTAAGTGGTAAGACAGACATGCCACTGTGAGATACACACCTCAGGGACACAAGAAAGTAGAGAGATGCTGGCATCTTTCAGCCCTTCCAAAAGAATCTTGTTCTGCCAAAACGTGGAACTCCTGGGTTCCTAGAGACTGTAATATTGCTACAAAAATTTCTTTTTAATTGAGAGCACAATATGGAAAATAAAACGTATCCAAATGCAGATGAGAAAACTAATTCTAAAGAGGGATTCAGTTGGCATAGAGTAAAAGCCACAATTTTGAATGATTTATGTAAGTCATATATACATAAAACTTCTTGATGTGAAATTATAGGCAAACCCTTCAGCTTTCAAATGCACCATTTTTTTTTTGACACAGAGGCAATCTGCCATGCCTTTAGCTCTTCAGTAGGCAACACAAGTCATTTTCATAGCATGATATGAATTGGCCCAGACTGGCATTCTGAAGTAAGAGTCTACCAATACTGATTGAGAAAAAACAGCTTTGTTTCCCTACACTTACCATGTCCACTTATGTGTATATATACTGTCTTACTCAAGTAATTTAATTTATTGTCAAAACTTCTGGATTTAATTAAGAGATCTAACTGTATTCCTTTCAGTCCGTAATGCTAAAATGAAAGGTCACTTTCATTTAAACCTCACATCTATAAATACAAGTAAAATCATTAATCAGGCTAAACTCATGTTTTGTGTGAAATACATTTTATCATCATTAAATCCATTATATTCTGAAAATGTCACTTTCTAGCATCTTCAATGTTTTTGCAATTAACGCCAAACTTGGAATAAAACAAATTTTCCTGCAGTTAATTTTCCTCCAAATCCACATGTGCAGCCTTATCTACATGTTAATATCATAACCAGACATTTATATGGATTTTTTTCCTTCACCAAGAAGGAATTGAGCTGATGCAGGATAGAATCCAGCAGTACAATCATTTGGGTAAATGCAAAGCAATTTTGTAGCTTGAAAGAATTCCAAACTCCTACATATTTCCCTTGTAGGTGAGGCAGCTAGACCATCTGTGTCCAGTTCTGTAGCAATGGTCTGTGTAGAATCTGGTTCCTGAGGTGGCTCTGTTTATATTTACTGGACATTGAGAGTTGCTCCCCCACAGTCAGCATTTAAAATGAAAGCAGTCATTTTATTCTTGTTTTAGCCCTACAAGATAAGAATAAAATAATTTTCCCTGTTGCTAAGAAGTGGCAGAGCCCACACATGTTTTTACCCCTTCTCCATTCTTCTTTCATAATCAAATTCAGTCACTCATAGGTTTTTTCCTCTACAAATCTGTGGAGCAGAAAGGGACTCGGTGGAAGTCCCAGGGATTGAAAACCAACAGTTATGCTTGCAGTTAATCAAAGAAACAGCAAGACAGCCAATGAACTTTTTCACACTTTCTGAAACATTTCTGGCCCTCTCTAGCAAGAACATTCAAGCTCTGATGTGTTTACAACAAAACTACCTGCGGCATCAAGGTTTCTCAACATTGATCTTATTTGGGACCCTAGATTTTCACCATGGTTAGGAACCTTTGTAATTATGTAATCCTGAGTGAGAGTGTCAGCTAGTTTTGATAAGGATTCTATTCACTGTAACCTCAGAAACTGTTCAGCCATGGCTCACATTAAAAACAGTTTTAAAACCTGAAGATGTTTAAGATGCAGACTTGTAGTACCCAGTCTTCCAAAGGACTTGCTACTTCCTCAACAGGATCCTGATTCAGTCATAAATGTGTATTGCCTTGTGTGCCTTTCTTCTATTTGATGCTGAGGCCATTGATTAGACTAAAAATTGACCAGCCTTTCCCTGAAATTGTTACTTTTTAAAGAAGTCTTAGCATCCTTTGTAGATAGGGGTATATCAGTTTAAGACCTTGCTGGAGATGTAACTACAAGAGGCTGGAGAATATGGTAGCCATGAAGTTTCAAGGAACTAACAAGATGACACTTGACCTGCTATCTATGAAGCATATTTGATGGCTTGAAAAAAGTTTTGTACATTGCCTCAATTTACTAATGAGGAAATTCAGGCCTATTTTTAAAAATTCATCTCATCAAGGTCAAGTGGGTAAAAAGAACCAGAACACAGGTCCTTTATCTATAGTCTGCTGCATTCCCATGTTAGACACTGCCTCTGAATTAAGTATAAGTATACTGTTATATCTTCAGATGATAAAGTTAGATTTAAATAGTTTTCAGTAGAACTCCAGTCATAATGTCAACATATGTTCTGCTTTGAACCAACCAGCATTTTCTTACATTGATTTCAGTCTTAAGATCTGGTATTGGTTTTGTTTTTTTTTAAGTGTGAAATAACTGTACTCCCACAGGAATTAAATAGCAGTGGGTTCGGAATCTTCTTCAGCTCAGGGGAAGTTTACCTGGAGTCTGTTATATGCCACCTCTGGAGAAATTAAGATTTGAGATCAATAAGGTGAATGGGAGCCTTTTAGGCCAGTGTATCACCTTGCTCAGTACACTTACCTTCTCGTTCAGTAGTGATAACATTAGCTTCTATCTCAAGTTCGATAGTGACATGCACATTGCAAGGATAACAGATCTCGCTGTTTTCCTAAACCCAAAGCTCATTGTTCTTTCTTGGAAGTGATCAAATCTTTGACATTATTTCCCATGAAAAAATTAAACATCCCTTTTATAGTAGAAAACACAACCTTGTATTTTCAGTTAGATCCACCTCTCAAGGCCTGAAACATAGTTAGGGAGCCATAGAAGAAAAAAGGTTGAGGGAGAACAGATGATCCAGCCTCTGCCTCAAGCCATGACCTCAGACTGTGGCATCTAAATGAGAAAATTATTTCATTTCTACAGCTTTACTGGGGAGGCTATTCTAGGTCTTACCCTTGTAACTCATGGAGTCAACCAGATAGTTGCTCTGGTACCCCGGCTAAGTATTTCATCTGCTCCTTTATGTTGGTGAGTTCTACTGTGAGCACAAAGGAAGCAAATACAGCCAACTGCCATCTCTTTCCAGCTATCATAGTAGCATTCAGAGTTGTTTTTCTCTCTGAGTCCACTATAATTGTGTTTGTGTGGGCACAGACACACATGGGCTGGAAAACATTGAGCATCAGACTGTCCACTGCTTGAGTGAACATAGTAGACTATCAGAAAGAAAACAAGCAATTCTGGACTGTCTATAAGTTTTCAGACCAGCTACCTGAGCCCATAAGTGATGAACTAAGTGCTCTCAAAGTTGTATTCCCATTCATGAACTTTTACCATGCTGTAGTGGTCAACTTAACAGCAGCTAAATTAAATCAGCGTTGTGCTGAGTGTAGATGGTCCAGCTGCAGAAAGTTGCCATCATAAAAGGTGATATGGAGAGGAATAGCACGGCACTGTGCATTCTCTTGTGTTGTTGTTGTTGTTGTTATTGTTGTTTGGAACTGTTGGTTCTGGAAGAGCTTGTCATGCTGGTTTCCCTGATATGACTTCACCATTATCATCAGTGGAGCTTGGGACTTTGTCACTGAGAGTGGTTGCAGTTCACTTTGGGAGAGCTCTGGTCCTTATGATGAGCATCATTTCCTGGCTCCAGAGAAGATGTGAGCTATTTAATCTCCAGGAGATGCTTGTTGTGCTCACTTCCTGATATGAACTCAACTGTTACTGTCGGAGGAGCTCAGAACCTCCTTGTCTCTGAGGATGGCTGTGGTACTTTTTAGGTGAGCCATAGTCTTTATTTTGAGCATCACTTCTTGGCTCTGCTGCGTAAACCTCAACCTACTGGCCCAGATCCTTCATCCCACTGGCATAGACTTTGTAGCTTCCACCGCTGACCTTCAGGCTTCCCATTGGAGATCTGTAAAAGACTTGCATGAGCCCTTGTTGTGAGCTCTAGGTTTCCTTTTTCCTTACAAATTGACCCCTGTGTATTTCTATTTTCATGTCTCTTACCTGCAAATGAGAATGATTGTTTTCCCAACCAATAGATACTATTAGATACCTCACAGTCAAGTTTTATTTAATGACTTAATTAGTAGTGGTGAAAACAATCAGTGTTTGGGAACAGAGAGTGCCATACATGTGCTAAGAACAAAAATTAACATAGTCAAAGGAAGGCAGAGATTGAATTGTAAAGAAAGCAAGTTCACCCTTTAATTTGTATAAGGAGCAAACCTCAGAATATAGCCTCTGCCAAATAAGTAAGAACAAATGTACACTCCTGTTTCCACCCTCCTGGGTCCTGTTCCCAGGAGCCCCACTCAAACATGGCATGCCTTTGCTCTGCCCTACACAAATCAGTAGGCCACAAATCAGTGGAAAACATCCTATGCATGAGCTTCTCCCAATTAAAACAGGTGAGGAAGATATAGACTATGCAGTGAGCCATACCATGGCCTGTTTCTTTGACCCCTTTAAATAGAGTTAATACTGCCTGCAGGATGTGGTAGTATGTACTCACCCATAATCTAGCAACTAGATCTTTCTAGATTCACAGGAGCTTGATACAAGGTTATGGCACAAACCCACTCGTTTTTTAGATGGCTATTAAGGTGCTTGGTATCAGAGCTATTGTTACTCTCCCTAGCTTATGAACCTTAACTAAAGCTTACAGCTGCCCCATATCGAAATATAGATTTCCACAAATGTATTGAAAAATGGGGACTTTTCATCACACCAATCACTACAGAACACAATGCGTCTTCATCATTCCTTTTAGCAAAATAATTGCAAATCAGTATTAAGCTTTACTCTACGTGGTACAGTGCCAGGTAAGGGAATGAAAAGAATGTGAGAGCTGTATGTTTCTGTGGTTGCTTATAGTGAAATCTTCTTGGGTCATACCAAGTAGGGTATGCTAAACATTGTAGAGGAGGCTTTGAACACTCAGTGAAGTTTGGAGAAGGGAGCAGACTTCGGGGGATGCAGAGGAAGGTGGCAGAGTGTAACAAAGTCTGAATTGAGCTTCAGCCATTTGGCCAAACATGGTCTGTAATAAGGCAGTTGGTGGTTGCAGAGGAGAGAGACCAGCAGAAATGCAGAGCTTTCACAAATGACAACAGAATATATTTTCAGGACATTGGAAAAGAGTGAAAGACAAAATTTTGAAATAGAAAAGAGTCAGTTTCTAAAGAGCCTTTAGTTGAGGGCTTATTCTACTGGAGCAAAGAGGATGGAGAAATTTAAATACCACCTGTATCTTTATTGTGAGACAGAAAGGTGGTAACTTCACTTCCAGGAAATTCTCAAGCTCCAAGGTATCAACACTGGAGAATGGTCTGTCCTGTGGCAGAATCATCAAAAGAACTGCTCCAGGCCTCAAGTAGAAGCCCTAATACCACAAAGCAAACAAAAAGCTCTGCTACAAAATGCTGCTGAGCTGGGCCATTTATACTTCTTCCCTGGCACAGAGACCAAAAACACCCCAGAAGATACAGAAATCCACTGACTAGGAGGGCAGGTGGGTTACAAGTGACCTTTTAAAAACCTTCACTTCATTTAGCCCTTCCCCTACTATATGCATCACTGATTCTATTAGCCGTAGTGCTGAGAATCTCAACTCGTTTCCACAAATGAAATCGAAAGACTCCATCAAAAGTGATGGTTTCTTTAGTTCATCAAATCTCTATTCATTGCAAAAACATTGTTGTCCTTGTGGTTTGTACTTTGTGATTGCTTTTATGAAGACAGTGAAAAATCAAAATATATAGGTAGAAACTTAAATTGACTTTATATCACTGAGATTTAACATCTTCAAAATAGCATGCTACATTAATGCATTTCTGATTTCAAGGTGCTTTTTTTAAAATTGGTCTTCCCTGCACATAATAATTCTATCAGACAATGGTCTATGGAAGGAAATGTTGTCTGTGATTTATTTCTGGGGACTTTAAAAAATGAAAGTACTATTTTTTACTAATGTATCTGAAATATACATAAAATATGGTTATAATATGCAAAGATGTCTTTTAGTTATGTGCTTTTTTTCTCTTTCAATATGCTTGTTGTAGGATCTAAGGGAAGAATGTGTAAAGTTGAAAACAAGAGTGTTTGATTTGGAACAACAAAACCGAACGCTAAGCATCCTATTCCAACAGCGAGTCAGACCAACTTCTGATCTACTCCTCCAGGTATGTGTTTTTGGGGAAAACAATCTTTGCTGATAAAATGCTATTGATGGGAAGTAACTTAAGTTAAAAAATTGCCAACACCTCTAGAGACAAGGCACCATGTGTCAAATCCCAATTCTTTAGTATCTCAGGAGCTGTCATTAAAATTGAATGTCTCCTAAATTCTTCACTTTTTAAAAGTTACATACAGGTAAGACAGTATATTCCTAACAAGGAATATACAGGTAATAGAACAATCTGAGAATATTGTTCAGTAAAGTAAGTGGAAGGCTGAAATAAAATTAGGAAATAATTGATTGTTTTGGAGACCAGTATTAGGAACTCTGCATTCTATGATAAGTAGCAAAGAGTTTTACGGAATGTCAAAGCATTTTTTTATTTCAGATTCTTTAGAATCTGAAATATAGCTTGGGTTTGTTTTTCTGTCATGCTTCTCTCTATGCAGAGCTCCTGTTCTGTATTATTATTTTTACAGATCCTCTTTGTCCAAATGTTCCAGCTGTACTCTTTCTTCAATTTGCCTCCATAGCATGGAAAGCTGTGGAGAGCCAAACCATTAGCATCATTTTGAAGCTGTCCCTGACAAAGCACTAGAGAGTAGAGTAACTGCAGGGAAGCCCAGGAATTGGTAGAGGAAGCTGCAGGGCTGACCTTCACTGTTTCCCATCTTTTTGATCCCATTAATATGCATATTTGCTCAGACAAGATCCCAAAGGCTTTGCTCAAAGATTTCAGGGCTAAACTGTCAAAGAGTATTGTAAGGCTTTAGGGGACAGTATCAGCATACAAAGGGTAATCCACATCTACTTGGTCTCAGCCTCTGATCCTTTAGACCTCACTGTCCAGCACCAGAACCACCACCTATGTAGGGCACTTGAGGTTTTTATTTTCAAATTTTGTATTAAGTTAAAACTGAATTCTTAAATCAGCTAGCTACTTTATAAGTATTCAGAAGCCTCATGTGGCCAGCAGTTACTATATTGGACAGTATAAAACTAGAACATTTCCATTACCATAGAAAGCTCTACTAGACAGTATTTTTCCAAACGGCTAAGACTGTGTTGCTAGTTTACCTCTGAATTTTAACATAAGCATCTTAAGACTCCTCAGAGATATAATGGAAAATTGCAATTCATTTCAGAGAAAGAAAGATGTTTGGTAAAGCTGAGCATCAAAATGTAATTTGCCCCCCAAATTAAAATAAAACAGCTCTCTGAATTACAAAATAGATCTCATCTCTTAAATTAATTTCCTCTCTGGTTTATCTATTGAAGTATAATTCATAATTTATAACTCAAAGACTGTGGTAGGGGAAAGGGAAAAGTCATTTATCTCTATTCTGTTTCCTGGACTCAAACACAATAAATGTTTGTCATAGGGGATCTTGGTTTATAAAAAGTCCTGTTTCTTGTGCAGTCTCATAATTAAGGTCCAATATTAAAATTACTTTTAACAGCTGTTGCATGTTTATAAATTTTCTGTTTTTCCTGTTTTAACTTGAGGCTTTTCTAGAACAATGTTTGAGGAGCTACATTCTCTGTTTATGAATCACAATAGTTTATTTGCATAGTAAACACATGTGCTGTAGATATGTAAGCTTTTTCATTGGCTGTTATACATTCCTTAAATTCATACTCAAGGGACAGCAGATATGTATGCTAGCAACAGAACTCAGTATTTATTCATTACATGTTTTCAATCAATAGATTTAGGAGCCATTCTAATTTAAAGAGTACTCATTAAAAATAGGTTGTTAATAGTTTTGTGAAAAAGAATGAGTAGAGAGAATATGGGCCCTACCCCCTAATATCTTAGAGCTCATCTCACAGTTATTTGTTGAATGGGCTAATGAGAAAATGATATAGTATTCTAGAAGTTGGAGCATTATTTTTGTTAGCTTGCATAAACCCTCTGTACCCTCTTCTGACATTTTCCTATCTTACATGGTCTGCTAAGGCTCAGCTGGTGCAGGGGTGGAGGTGGACTGCAACAAATTCACCATTCTGCCCGTTGGCACAAATATTATGGGCCCTGCGGCTGCTGCCCAAGACTTATTCAGCACTGAAGATTTCTAAGTGAATTTCTTTATGTCGTAGAAAACTGGATTAGTGGCTATCTTCTGAATACTGGTCAATGATTCTCTACAGTCTGAAGTAGTCACTTGAAAAGAAATACAGAACTATTTTCAAACTCATTGTGATTTTTGTAGATAAATTGCAAATCGCATTCAAGAAAATAAATTATAAGTAACAGTCAGTTTACTACCCCAAAATAGGGAACAAGGGGTTACTTAAATGTCATTTAGCAAACCTTTGAATAGGTTAAACAAAAAGGGATAGCTGTAAGGATTAGCTAATAGTAATTTATAGAGAGTCAGGTGGGTCAGCACAGTGGTACACAACTGTAGTCCCAGTCCCTGGGAGGCTGAGGTACAAGGATCTCTGTATACAGGGGTTTGAGACCAGCCTGGACTTGATAAGGAGATCCCTTGTTAATACCAAGAACAGCAACCACAAAGGGAACCAGGTCCCTCGTGGGGATGAAAAGGTACCTTAACCTGAAAATTAATATCTTGAGATTGGAAATAAACCTTTCTATTGAGTCCAGTTTCTGAAATGATATCTTTGGGAGAATGGGTGATAACAAATCAGATCAAAGACTTTCCTCTAAAATCAGCGTTTTGAACTAAATTCTAAAAATCTAGAAACCAGTACAGTAAATAAAGCCCTAAAGTAACATTCCTATAGGAACTAGAGTCTTTAACAGATGTTATACAAACCTACTTAGCCAGATTAACCAATGCTTCTCATTTCCTCAAATTATATTGTACACCTTCAGCTTCATAAATGTTGACAACCAGAAAATGCCTCTCTACTAAGTATACTCATTTGTTTTACCAGTTGGGTTGAATGCTTAGCAGAAATGAAGTATGTTATTGTAACTCAGTTGGTTTATATGAGAAATGCTTAAAATAGCAATTCTGTAATTTTAAAAATTAATGCCATTTTATACATACCATATAAATCAATGAGCTATCAAGCAAAATGAAAATTGTTTCTCTAAAAGTGTTTCTAAAGCTTTTATAAACGCAAGTAGCTAAAAAACAATGTGATTAAATTAAATATAGATCTCTAACAATAAGAAGAGTGTGGGAGCCTGTGGATTGCATTAAATGTGGAGGAATTCTGCATGCAAACTGTTTCTTTAACGGTTTTAATGGAAAAATCTAGTAGTAAGATCTCTAGGGAAAGTAGCAGCCTTGACCTACCAGAAATACTGCTGGGCAAATGCATAGTACTGCCTGTGTGACAGATAGTGCTCTACAACATTTACGGCATTTCCAGTATAATCTATTGCAATCCTGTGAGGTAGGACACAAATAGGGACACAGACATAGAGACACCAAGTCACATGGCTAGTACTGGATGAGAATTAAATCTGAAAATCTAATAACATCACATCTGTCCCCTCTCTGCTCTCCCACTTCCATCAGTACTCCTTACGCAAGGAGCATGAAGTACAAAATGACCATTTTTTGGCTAATGGCTCTGACATTTTGGTGAACAGTGATCAACTCAGATCAGAGGCTTCTGCAGTACAATCACAATCAGCACTTACACACTTCCAAAAGTTCTTGGTGTGTGACTTCTAAGATTTTACCCTCTCCTATGCTTTATGCCTTTGTTTTTTTCTGCCTTTGGACACCTATGCTATTACCTTGATGGAGTATTATTCTTGTATTTTCAATCTATAACAGTTTTTTTCCTTTCTGATCTAACATTCCAAAGGATCCTATCACCCATATGCATAGACCAAGACGGAAAGAAAAGAATGCTATAGTGTAGATTATGCACATAAACCGTAGGGTGTCTGGCAGCTTAGAACCAAGATGCAAATATATGCTGTCACGTCTTACAGTACTGACATTGTGTTTTGTGCTAGTGATTTGTTTTATATTATTAATTGGATAAAAGAGGTATATATTGCTACAAATTTCTGAATTCTACTTGTTCCATTTTTTTCCTCTTTCTCTCTTTTTCTAAATCTTTTTTTATTTTCAGAGTGTAAATGCATGTATAAATCTGAGTTGGCAAGACACCCCACACTCACCTCTCCACAGTTAACACATTCAGTCTCAGAAATCTAGCCTAGTGCTGTCACATCTTGAAATCTTCCAAGGTCATGCAGGTCCTTACCTTGTTTTCCTTTTTTTCTGGTGTTTGTGTCACACTTGGGATCGGTACCAAACAAGTACATATAGTCCATGGTCCTGTGCAGAACTAGGGAATTCTGGCCTCCCATGTCAGTGAAAGTCATCCAGTGCAGCCCAAGTAACTTGTTAAGTTTTGATTTCAACTCAGCAGTAATATTTTGGTGAGCAACACTGTTGCTTTCCCCCTTCCATGGACTTTGTCACTTTTCATAATACATAATCAGTCTGCACTTGTTAATGGCTTAAAACTTCATTGTATGCTTTTTCTAAAATGTGATTTTTGAAAGATATTCCAGCCTCAATAAGATTTTAATCTTCTTGGTGAAAATTTGTGCCTTTATCTGCCTACTTGGGTATATTTTTGTGTCACTCCCTGCACCTGAATGCCTAATTCATATGTTTTAAGTTATTTTCTTCTGACAAGGGGAGATTTAGAAGCATTTATACTGTTTGCCATCTTAATAGTCATCAGTGTGCAGTAAACACAGAGACCACCTGGAACTGAACATATAAATGGAAAGCCAAAGCAGAGACACCTTTTCCAAGATGTTTGATCATTCATAAAAACTAGAAAATGTTAGCCATGTAATATACTTTTCAATGCATATACTTTGATTTTTAAAAGATATATATATATGTATGTGTATATATATATATAATTGCCTTTTGAATGTTTTCAAATATACAGGCTGATGTAAGATGAAAACAAGCAACTGTTACTAAGAGAGCATTGCAGTAACATAATCATATCATAAGATGGGGTAGAGGAGTAAAGGGTATAGTAAGG